ATACGACACATCTCTAAAACCAGTTCTGTGACTTAATTATGGTCAATTATTAATGTTTCCATGTCTGGGCAAATTTCACTTGATTTTTTATGAGGGGTGTGGGTATAGCTGATATTTTATGTAGGGAAGGGGGACGGTTGCTGTAGAAAATTTTTGTTTCCTTGTCTCCTTGTATCACTGGGCCATGGATCTGCTTTTTATCTCGAGTCCCTATTATTGCGAGTGGCATTATTTGTTGAGTCTTAAGGTGCGGTCACACGATGAGATTTTTCATCCGATTTTCCATCCGACTTGCGCAGGTAAGTCGGATGGAGTCGATTGGTGGGGTGGTCACACGATCCGATTTTACATCCGATTTTCCATCCGAGAGATGCAGGTGCTTGTTTTGTGTTTATTTAAACAATAAAATGCTTTCTTTGTTTGTTATTACTGGAATGAACGGAAGCAGCTGTTGCAGAAAAAATACATAACCCGCGTAAGCGGGTTATGTAAATTTTTTCTGCAATAGCTGCGACCGTACATTCCAGTAATAACAAACAAACAAAGACATTTTATTGTTTATATCTATATCTGTTTAAATTATCATTTTAAGTAGGATTAAAAATATTAATTATTGTGTTAATGATGCGAACGTCTTTGTACGTTTCATTGATGGAACGGCCACTGATCAAGAAATCTGTACAGGTGACATGCCTGATGTAGTTCATGCAGTGATGAACGTTTTCTTAAGAAATAAAGAAGAAAATATTCAGTGGATGTAAATATTTCATTTTAAACGGATTTTGGTAAATAAAATAAATATTTATAAGTAAAGAGTATTAGCTATCATTTATTAATTTAACATGACGTCATTCTAATTATGACGTTTGAAGCTGACGTAATTTTAGCACGGACTGCGAAAAAAGATGACCGCAAGAAAAAAGAAAATACTAAGGTGCATTGTTGCTGCATTAGCAGCGAAAAAGAGTTTTAAAAAAGAAAGAAAATGGACAAGACTTTGGCTAACCAGGAGGAATGAACTGGGTATGAGAAAAAAATATATTGAATACTTTAGCAATTGTTCGTTGAAGGCCTATTTGATACATTATTTTCGCTCGAATAAGGGAATTCAAAACTGAGATATATTTTCTTTCAATTCAAAAACTCAGCACACAATTAAGTGTAGTCTTACAGGCGCGTAGCCAGGCGTATGTTTGTGCACACAAACGTCCACATCATTTTTTAAGAGAGAGAGAGAGAGAAACGTAATTTCCAATGTTATCCAACGTACGCTAGCTGAATTTAGAGCATAAATATATCATTTAGCAAGAAATAAAAAATGCTTTTAAATTAAGAATATAACCGTTACGATAAAAAAAATGTACAAAATGACAACGTACAGAATCAGTTTTATAGAAAAAAAAAAAAACGATAGTTTGCACCTCTCTAAAATCATTAGATTTTCCCGGAATTTGGTAAACTATTTAATATTGTTGAGATTTTTCTAGGTGCATTTCATTCTTATATTGACTTTTCGATCAGTTGTTGGACAGATCCTATCTCGTTCTTAGTGTTTGTCCGCATTTTGTACAAAAATAGAACAGACCTCGAATATGGCTGCCTAACAAACATATAGAGAGTCGTCACATAGAAATAATCGAAAATTCATTTATTTTCAGGGCATTTACGCTGGACCCACTGGCGTCATTAAGACTGCCTCCATGCCCGTGCCTATACTCGGGCTTCTACATCAAACGTTCCCTGGCTACGCCCCTGTGCACTTGTCTAAATATATATATACTAGATATATGCTAGTGCAGATCAATATTTGAAAATGATCTGTGGACTTAACCTATGAGAGTTGAGTCCTGGTCCTTTTTGAAAAATAAAGAAGATGGGCGCATTTGGCAAGTGATCTGCTGGAATCATTTGTACGAAACATTTATGGTTTAAATGTCCATGATTTGGTTGGCTGACCATAACTGGTCAGATTTTACAAACACGGCCATATGATATTTCTTTCATTTAGTTTGAAATACCTTGCCAGATTGTAACATTTATGTCCATTTTTCTTAGGTAATACAAAAACAAAGTAATGCTTCACAAAAAAAAAAATTAATACCTATAAGTAAAAGGCATATGATAAGTGTACATACACATCAAAGTTTAAGTAGAACACAAGATTGGAATTTGATTTCGCTCTCGGTGTAACTGAACCAAAATTAATCTAAATTTTGAATCAGTACATAAAATGAGACTGACAAAAGAATTGATATTTTAAAAAAAAAACAAAAAACTCCTCATTCATGGGGCACTGGACAGACAATCAATACTGCTGAGCTATCGCCACTACACATACACAGCGTATGATAAAAGGACAAGGAAGAACCATATTTAAACAATTGAATTTTTTGGAAAAAGTTCATTTTTTATAGTCTCTGGGTCTTCTCTCCATTTTCTACAAATGCATGTTCGTTTCTTTGAATTAAAATGCACACAAATAGCGTTTCAAAATTATGGAGAAGACCCAGAGATAGAATTTTTTTTAGAAAAACGTATTTGAAAATGTACCATTTTGTACAAAATGTCTGATCTAGCCAATTTTGAAGTAATTTTCAAGCAAATCAAAACTCACTTTCGGGAAGTTATTTTCCTTTCCCAATTCACAAGAACCCGATAAATACACAGGTACTTGTGGACAGGACCCCCCCCCCCCCCCCCCCCCCAATATACACCCCTGGTCAAAATATTTTTTTTTCTTTTTTTCTCAAGAATTATGTTTCTAGTACTTATTTACAATGTATTCCATATGAAAAACCCAAAAAATAACATAGATTTAACGATTTACGAAAAAAGTCATACCAGGGTATTATAAAATAGAGAAGGTAAGTCACTTCGGGTTGTTAATTCGGACCCCTCTTGAATATCGGGCCTAAAATATCATATACCTATTACATGTCACCAAAATGTCTAGTCATGCCTTAATTCGGTAGAGGTTTTTGTCGTAAATCGTGCCATTTTATCAACCAAACATTATTCTGTTATCCCTTTATTAACCGTCAAACGCCAAAAATCCAGAAATGTCAAAGCAGAAATTACGGAAGTGACGAAAAAACGACACCTCGTAGTAATTTACTACAGGAACGATAACTCCACTTCTGTACTCGGAGAGTTCCGAATGTAATAGAACCAACGGAAAGAGCCGAAATTTGCGAAAAAAAAGTACGGGAAATAAAAATGGACGACGATCAACGAAGAGCATTTGAATTGGCAACTTCTGGACATAACTTGATAATTACTGGACAAGCCGGGACAGGAAAAACTTTTCTTGTCAAACAAATTGTAAGGTATTTAAGACAACTGAAGAAAAATGTTGCTATTGTATGTTCTACCGGTATCGCCGCGACTCATTATGGTGAATTAAGGGCACAGACATTGCATAAATGGGCCGGGATAGAGGATGGCAGACACTTGAACGAAGAAATAATACACTTAGTAAAGACTGATGAAAGGTTCAATGTTGCTAAGAAAAATATTGAAAATGCCGAAATACTAATTATTGATGAAATTTCCATGATTAGCGCAAAAATCCTACATCAAGTTCAGTTACTTTGTAAAAATGTCAGAAATTCAAAACTCATCTTTGGCAATATCCAGGTGATACTTGTGGGAGACTTTTATCAACTCCCACCTATTTCAAACGAACTTTTTGGAGATCTTGGAAATCATTGCTATAGATTACCTTGGTTTGAAAATTATTTCCCACACAAAATTAACTTAAATATTATCCACAGACAGGAAGATCAGCTCTTGATTCAATGTATTAATGAACTTGAAATTGGAAATCTCTCAGAAGATTGTGTTGCATTTCTTCTTTCTCTTGATAGACCAATACAAAATAAATCATGTGTACACTTATTTGCTAGAAATTTAGATGTAGACTTGTATAATTACAACAAATTGCAAGCACTTCAAGGGGAGTTAAAGGTGTACAAAGCTGAGGATGAGGGCTCTCAACACTATCTCAACAAATTTCTGGCCCCTAAGAATCTAGGATTAAAACTTGGTTGTCCTGTTATGCTGATTAAAAATTTAAGTGACACATTAGTGAATGGACTTTGTGGAACTGTGACAAATTTATGTAATGATTCTGTAGATGTGAAATTTATGGAAAATCATAGTACACCAATTACAGTGTCCATTTCAAGAGAAATTTTCACAATATTTGACCCTGTGGATAAAATTGTTTTGGCGAAAAGAGTACAAATGCCCCTAAAAGTAGGATTTGCTATGACAATACACAAATCCCAGGGAATGACCTTGAAAAATTTAGTTATTGATTGCACGAATTGTATCCAGCCTGGGCAACTTGGAGTTGCCATAGGCAGAGCAGTATCTGTTCAGGGTTTGAAAGTAATAAACTTCCATAAAAATCTATGCAAAAAACATCCAGGTCATGTATACAATTTTTATGACAGTTTTTCAATTGGCATTGTGAAATGTGATCTAAGTTGTTGCAGGGATAATGTTGACATTAGTACTCTGACAGCAGATACTGGTCATAAATCTGAAGACACTGATGATGCTATCGAGTCAAAAGTTTTGAATGAGGATTCAGAATTTTCTGATTCAGAGATTGAAGAATTAGAATTCATAGACAATATTCTTAGTGATCCTGGTCAAAATGCACTTCCTGATCAGTTTTCACAATCAGAACTCATTTTGGACTCTGCAGTGCAGAAATATTCTGACACACCAGTAGAAACAATTATTTTCAGTTTCAGGGATGCAATCTGCAAAAGTTATAAATATTTTGATGACTGGTTTCATGAGCAATTTTCAATAATGGAAGACATAGGACTGAATACTTTTCCTGAAGGGGAAATGTCTTTTTCTCAGAAGCATAGAAATGATTATTTTATTAGATTCAACAAGTATCTTAACTCAAATGATTATGAAAAAAGTGCAAAAACCTTGCTTAATTATTATGAGCAAAATTCTGAAGGGCCAGCATTTCAGCTTTTAACTGCAGTTATGTTTCAGATAGAGAAAGAATTTTTTCTTCAGCTTTCTTCCTATCTTCAGTTATCTGCCCCTGAGCCTGTAAAAAAGCTAACTGTTCAGTCTGACCTGGAAATGGACTCTGCAGGAAAAGGGAAATTAAGGTACATAAGTGGATACATATTAGCCAAATTGAAACATACTTTGTCAAAAAAAATCAGAAATATATTATTCACCAAAGGTAAAGAAACAGAGTTGTCAAGATTTCAATCACAAATGGAAATTCTCAATTCATTGTGTACTTCATTTGATCATTTAAATGCTACAGCAGTAGAGCCGGAGACCCTACTTGAAGTTAAACACAGACAAAATGACAGAGAGAGTCTCACTAATGTGTCTGATTTGACCTTTAGTTTTTTCCAAAAACTTGAATTATTATGCCGTGAAAAACTTACTCATGATAAGCTAGTCGATGATAGAAAATATTTATTCAGTTCTATTAAGGGAGAAATACTCGATAGTTCTTATATTTTTCACACATGGATTCAGTGTGTTGCGAAGTCGAGAAATCAATTGAATGAAAATCAAACTGAAGATATTTCTGATCTTTTGTCTTCAATGGTCATGACCTGTGATAGTTACACAGAGATTTTCCAAGCAGTTGTCTCTTTATTCCTCAAAGTAAATTTAAGTCAGTTTCGAAGAGATTTCTTAACATTTTTGAAAAAAGAGAAGAGTGTCGCACTGCGTAAAAAGGTCATGAAAAGGTCAAAAACAGTTGTGAAAACTTTCAACATGAAATTTTTCTCAGAAGATGACTCTAGCAATAAAGAAGTTTCATTATTAAGGTTAAAATCTGAACTTTTACAAAATGAAAAATTCTTTACTGAACATTCATTTACCAAAAAGGATTTGATCTCAATATGTCAGCATTTTAATTTGAAAGCTACTATGAAGCAAAAGAAGGATGATATCATAAAAGTGCTTGTCGATGGAATTCTAGAAAATGTTCATGCATCCAATCAATCTGTACTTGACACTGAACAGGCAGGACCTAGTAACTCTCAACCTTCATATGCTGATCTGACTCCCGCTGGCTCTGTATCATCTGGACCTGGCCTTTCACCACAACCTAGAGAAAGAGGTAAGAGAACATCAAGCAAAGGAAAAGGTAAAGGGAAGGGCAAAGGAAAGAAAAGAAAAACATCTGCTGACAGAGATTTGAACATGACAGAGGAAGATCTTACTAGGTATGTCATCTGGTCTGAAAGTTATTAACTCCAAATTTAGGTGCAGAAAATATTTAAATGTTTCTAATGTTAATTTTAATGTTAATTCAGTGGATTTTCCATATGAAAATTCTGTTTTTTGTAATGTCATAATTTTACAGAGAAAAACCATTGGAAAAAATATTTAACATTTTCTCAAGAATAGTAAATGCATGATTAGTATTTGTTGTGGAAGCATCTCTCTGGTAGTTTATATTCAAGTTTTCTCAAAATAGGGTGGGACCAACAGAAGTGTCAGATCAAAGTTGCACATAGGAGCTGGAGAGAAATCCTGATTAAGAATTAATAGCAAGACCAGTGAGTCAGGTGAGGATTGTAGCCCATGGACCTCATGTTATAATTCATGTGAGAAATACTAGTACTGTATACACAAAAGAGGCCAAGTCTTCTGTGACAGTATTACATTGATAGGTTGGCCATTATCTATATCAAAAATTAAAAAATATCTGCAAATTCATTACTTAGATAAGTTTCTATTTACACTGTATATGTTTCTATGATGTACCTAAAATTTGTCTATAAATACTTTTTATGATTGATTGTGAAATACATGTATAATAATGTACTTTATATTATTTCAGAAACCTTTTAGTATGCCATATCTTTCCTTCTGAGCTTCTTTTTGGATGTTGTTCTGGCAATTCAGCACCTCCCGAGGCTCCCCCAGTGTTTGATTTCCTCGATACAGAGGCGTGTCCTAGAATAACAGAATTCATTGTGTTGCAGTATCCTAGGTAGGTAGGATTGGTATTAGCCCCATTATGTAGTGTCCTCTGTTGACAAAAAACATTTTCTATAACATCACTGTTTGTTCTTGATGGAATAATGGAGGCATTTGATTTTTTCAGTTTGTAAAGACAGAGCTCCTCAAAACCAAGCACAGATGATATAATGTCTTGTCTAGTCTGGTGTGAAATTAAATGCTTTTCTTTATTTTTTATTGTTTTGTTGTTTTTTATGCTATTCTCCCACTGTACGAACCAATCCATTGCATCATGATTTTCTTTCAAACGATCATCACTTACATCAGTGACAGGTCTAGTATCTCTGAAGTTTTTAATGAGGACACTAGTACATTTTAGGAGTTTAACTGTCACATCCAGTTGTGACCCTTCTGAACCAAGACTATCTTGATAAAGTTCCATGAGATGTAGCATATTCCCATCTAGTACATCCTCAGCTAAGTGATTCCTCATTTTGGCCTCAGGTGTCATAAACAAGTGTTCTTGGGATAATTTATGGTGTACTGGAAATGCATGAGATGATATGTCCCATATATAAGCTTTCCTAAAATGATTCCACTCAATGTACTTATCACCGAGCATTAAATGTCTCTTGCAGCTAGCATCAGTACCACTTTTCAATATGTTATTGCGAATTTTTTTTATCACATGGGAGATGTCCATTATGAAAAAAATTTGGGGGTTATCTAGACAATATATGTTTTTGAATGAGCAGGTTACTGGGTTCATTGTGCTAAATTCTGGTAGTAAAAGCTTGAATAAGTCTCTGTTGGACTGAGCCCCATCGGTACTTATATACTGTATTTTAAAATCAAAACTTGATAACATATTCACGGATTCCCAAAGCAACAAGTAAAGTTCATGTCCTGAGGCTGTAGTTGAGGGAAAATGGGCAAATGGGAATCTGAACCCTGTAAACCCCAAAAACAGGAGTTGGAGGGCATGTGTTGCTAAAGGTAACTGTCTTTTACTTGACGAGATCTGGTTAAAAACAATGGACTCAGGAGTGCATTCTGAGAATCCAATTAATTGAATTTCACCATCTTTTTTCTTGAATTGTAGGTCTGATTGAACAGACATTTCGTCAAATATTAGGCCGCCCTCTAACCCCTCTGGTGGAATTTTCTTCAGCTGGGCTTCATTCCTCATCCAATGAAGCACTTCTTTAGAGAATCCTGCCTCTTGATGAACTTCATTTTTAACTCTTTGTAGGAGTTTTTGAGAGGGAAGAACCAAAAACTTGCTATTTCTTAAATCTGTGTAACCACGAGGGCTTCTACACCACAAATTTAAACAGAACCGAACTACATCCCTATTCCACCTTCTCCCATTGGGATGTCTATCAAGTGCTATTTTTTGTGACTTTAAAAATGTTTTCATTTTGTTAGTACAATCAGGAAAAATTTTGCTCAACAGTTCAGACATGTCTTTATTGTCTGCTTCACACAATGTAACTGTATTATGCAAATCATCACTTTCCACACAGAGTTCACTTGGATTGCATCTGCAATTATTTGTATTTTTGAAGAATGATTTTTTTTCAACATTTGATTCAGACTGTTCTTCATTTTTATCAGATTGATATTTAGTTGATCTCTGGAGTTTTTTACAAAAGGTACAGATAAATGACATATTTGTCGCAGCTTGAATTGGTAAAACATTTATACAGTTTTTTGAGCGGAAGCAAATACTGCTGAAATTTTCATCACCAACTTTGGACAAGTGCTCTTCAAAAAAGGTAGTTTTCCTTTTATTTTCCCCAATTTTCTCAGCCCCTTTGCAAAAAGAAAGGTGTCTTATAATTTGGAATATTGTGCTGAAACTGTAATGTTCATTTTGTTCATTGATGCCAAGACTTGCTGGTTTAATAGTTCTTCCACGAATATTCATATGCCAAATTTTATCACTTTTCAGAGAAATTTCAATCATTACTTTGTTATTGTTTATTATGTCACCAGTAAAATGACCTAATTTAATACAGTCTGCAGTCTTTGAAAGCAAAAAAAAATCTTCTGGGATAATTGAACTTATTTCACTGAAAGGAACATCAGACAGTGGGGATTTTCTCCACGAGATTCCCAAATATCTCTTTGTCAATTTTGACCAGTCATCTTTTGAGCGAACTTGTATTATTGTGACATTTTCAAATAACCTCTTTATTATATTTCCTACTGCAAGACCAGTCACTGTACCCTTGAATTTTGTTATAATGTCCTGTAAATCAACGTATTCAGTGCCTGTGGAAGCTTCAAAATTTTCTAGTAACCAGATGTATAAAGAAGAAATATTTTTTTCACTCATTTTGAATACCTTTGCTTAATTTCATCTCTTTCCTTATTTTTTGCGCTTTAAAACAACCGCCGAAATATTTCCCGTACTTTTTTTTCGCAAATTTCGGCTCTTTCCGTTGGTTCTATTACATTCGGAACTCTCCGAGTACAGAAGTGGAGTTATCGTTCCTGTAGTAAATTACTACGAGGTGTCGTTTTTTCGTCACTTCCGTAATTTCTGCTTTGACATTTCTGGATTTTTGGCGTTTGACGGTTAATAAAGGGATAACAGAATAATGTTTGGTTGATAAAATGGCACGATTTACGACAAAAACCTCTACCGAATTAAGGCATGACTAGACATTTTGGTGACATGTAATAGGTATATGATATTTTAGGCCCGATATTCAAGAGGGGTCCGAATTAACAACCCGAAGTGACTTACCTTCTCTATTTTATAATACCCTGGTATGACTTTTTTCGTAAATCGTTAAATCTATGTTATTTTTTGGGTTTTTCATATGGAATACATTGTAAATAAGTACTAGAAACATAATTCTTGAGAAAAAAAGAAAAAAAAATATTTTGACCAGGGGTGTATATTGGGGGGGGGGGGGGGGTCCTGTCCACAAGTACCTGTGGATAAATAAAAACAATGTTAAAATTTCATGTGACATGTCGATAAAATTTTCACTTGTCAAGTATGCCCAGATTCCTGCCGAATGCCAATCAAAAGCGCCCTCGTTCTTTCGGAAGATTTTTTTTAAAAGTTTGTATCAAAGCTATTACATATTATCTTAATAGCAGGGTTTTATATTATATCACATGAAATAATCCTCCAGAAACAGAAACAGGACGGAAATTTTACTGTATGTGTAAATGTGTATCTGCACGAATTGATCTCATAATTCTGATTTCATGTGCGAAAAATGTTTCAAGTACCACAATTAGACTGTAAGCATATATACGATAGCCTATATATACTTCTTTTAGGAATATGGCAGAATTTGCTCAGGGAAATGTCGGTTGAAGACAGCCAATCCTTCAAAAATTTTCTAAGGGTTGACCAGAGACAGTTTTTCTGTCTACTGGAGATCACAAAAAACGATATTTCAAAAACAGATAACCCTATGAGGTCAACCAGAGGAGAGACTAGCTGTCACCCTCACAGGTACTTGTGGACAGGACCCCCCCCCCCCCAATATACACCCCTGGTCAAAATATTTTTTTTTCTTTTTTTCTCAAGAATTATGTTTCTAGTACTTATTTACAATGTATTCCATATGAAAAACCCAAAAAATAACATAGATTTAACGATTTACGAAAAAAGTCATACCAGGGTATTATAAAATAGAGAAGGTAAGTCACTTCGGGTTGTTAATTCGGACCCCTCTTGAATATCGGGCCTAAAATATCATATACCTATTACATGTCACCAAAATGTCTAGTCATGCCTTAATTCGGTAGAGGTTTTTGTCGTAAATCGTGCCATTTTATCAACCAAACATTATTCTGTTATCCCTTTATTAACCGTCAAACGCCAAAAATCCAGAAATGTCAAAGCAGAAATTACGGAAGTGACGAAAAAACGACACCTCGTAGTAATTTACTACAGGAACGATAACTCCACTTCTGTACTCGGAGAGTTCCGAATGTAATAGAACCAACGGAAAGAGCCGAAATTTGCGAAAAAAAAGTACGGGAAATATTTCGGCGGTTGTTTTAAAGCGCAAAAAATAAGGAAAGAGATGAAATTAAGCAAAGGTATTCAAAATGAGTGAAAAAAATATTTCTTCTTTATACATCTGGTTACTAGAAAATTTTGAAGCTTCCACAGGCACTGAATACGTTGATTTACAGGACATTATAACAAAATTCAAGGGTACAGTGACTGGTCTTGCAGTAGGAAATATAATAAAGAGGTTATTTGAAAATGTCACAATAATACAAGTTCGCTCAAAAGATGACTGGTCAAAATTGACAAAGAGATATTTGGGAATCTCGTGGAGAAAATCCCCACTGTCTGATGTTCCTTTCAGTGAAATAAGTTCAATTATCCCAGAAGATTTTTTTTTGCTTTCAAAGACTGCAGACTGTATTAAATTAGGTCATTTTACTGGTGACATAATAAACAATAACAAAGTAATGATTGAAATTTCTCTGAAAAGTGATAAAATTTGGCATATGAATATTCGTGGAAGAACTATTAAACCAGCAAGTCTTGGCATCAATGAACAAAATGAACATTACAGTTTCAGCACAATATTCCAAATTATAAGACACCTTTCTTTTTGCAAAGGGGCTGAGAAAATTGGGGAAAATAAAAGGAAAACTACCTTTTTTGAAGAGCACTTGTCCAAAGTTGGTGATGAAAATTTCAGCAGTATTTGCTTCCGCTCAAAAAACTGTATAAATGTTTTACCAATTCAAGCTGCGACAAATATGTCATTTATCTGTACCTTTTGTAAAAAACTCCAGAGATCAACTAAATATCAATCTGATAAAAATGAAGAACAGTCTGAATCAAATGTTGAAAAAAAATCATTCTTCAAAAATACAAATAATTGCAGATGCAATCCAAGTGAACTCTGTGTGGAAAGTGATGATTTGCATAATACAGTTACATTGTGTGAAGCAGACAATAAAGACATGTCTGAACTGTTGAGCAAAATTTTTCCTGATTGTACTAACAAAATGAAAACATTTTTAAAGTCACAAAAAATAGCACTTGATAGACATCCCAATGGGAGAAGGTGGAATAGGGATGTAGTTCGGTTCTGTTTAAATTTGTGGTGTAGAAGCCC